TTTGACCTTTGACCCCCAGCTTCGACATCCCAACTCGGATCTCAACTTTTCGGATTACCCCCCCTCCACGTCCCGAATATCGTGACCGTACGTCGAGCGGTTAAGATTTGTGCCCAACTGTTGACGCACGGACGGACGCACGGACGCACGGACGATCATGCGATTCTACAAGCTGCATCTGACTATGTCAGATGAGCTAAAAACAGATATAAGATATATATAAGTATATATAAGTATATAAGATATAAGATGAATGAAAAGGCACGAATCACAGTGAGCATCCCACTAGGCAACTCCGATAGTTTCACTATTAGCGAAGTAGTAAGACAAGGAACAGTATTGGGTCCAATCATGTGCTGTACCACCCTGGACCAAATAAACAGTGGAGGATATGGCTCCCTAGTAGAGGTATATCAAGGTACCATAGAAATACCACCGCTGTTATATATGGATGATCTACTGGGAATAGGGAACCTAAACATGGTACAGAAAATAGCACATTCATGCAACTTACTTGCAACAGAAAAAAATGATAACATTCAATATGGACAAGACAAATATAATGAATATTAAATTTTTGCCTCATAGAAACATTAGTACTGAAAAAGAAGAAAAAATTCATTTGGGTAGAACAGCGATAAAACATTGTACTAAATATAAATATCTAGGAGACATTTTTAATAACAACGGTGACTGCATAGATATGATAAAGGAGAGAATAGACAGATGCAGGTATATGATGGGGGAGGTCATACCAATGACTAAACCAAACCAATTAGGCAATTTCACAGTAGAAGCTAGAGTGAAATTATATGAGTGCACGATACTCCCATCTATATTAAATAATAGTAAAACTTAAAAAGGAAATACAATTATTGGAAGGCTTTCAAAATGATTTCTTAAGGAGAATACTAGGTGCACATAGTAAAACCCCACTAATCGCTCTAAGAGTTGAGCTAGGTATAATACCAAATCTTGACAAAATCAAAAAGGGAAAGAGAGAGGAGAGGGAGAGGAGAGGAGGGGGAGAACTGTTAGAGGGGCTGGTGTTGAATGACATCCACCACTATACTCACGTTCTCACTGGTAAGCAGGAGTAGAGAGGAAGGGAGGGAGCGCGGGAGAGAGGAAAGGAGGGAGGGTGGGAAAGAGAAAGCGAGAGAGAGAGTGCTTAAGTCACACATGCGCACTCACACGGGAGAGAGGCCGTATGCGTGTGATATATGTGAATACAGGTGTAGGAGCTGCTGTGATCTCAAGATACACATGCGCACTCACACGGGAGAAAAGCCGTATGCGTGTGATATATGCGAACACAGATATACTACCCTCGGTCATCTCAAGGTACACATGCGCACTCACACGGGAGAGAAACCATTTGCATGTGAGAGATGTGAATATAAGTGTTCTACGTCTAATATGCTTAAGATACACATGCGCACTCACACGGGAGAGAAACCATTTGCATGTGAGAGATGTGAATATAAGTGTTCTACGTCCGGTACGCTTAAGTCACACATGCGCACTCACACGGGAGAGAAACCATTTGCATGCGACAAGTGTGAATACAGGTGTACGTTCTCCGCTAATCTCAAGACACACATGCGCACTCACACGGGAGAGAGTCGTATGCGTGCGATATATGTGAACACAGATATACTACCCTCCGTTATCTCAAGATACACATGCGCACTCACACGGGAGAGAAACCGTTTGCGTGTGAGAGATGTGAATATAAGTGTTCTACGTCTAATATGCTTAAGATACACATGCGCACTCACACGGGAGAGAAACCGTTTGCATGTGAGAGATGTGAATATAAGTGTTCTACGTCCGGTATGCTTAAGTCACACATGCGCACTCACACGGGAGAGAAACCATTTGCATGCGACAAGTGTGAATACAGGTGTACGTCCTCTGCTAATCTCAAGAGACACATGCGCACTCACACGGGAGAGAGGCCGTATGCGTGCGATATATGTGAATACAGATATACGAGTCTCAATAATCTCAAGATACACATGCACACTCACACGGGAGAAAAACCGTTTGCATGCGAGAGATGTGAATACAGATTTACGAGTCTCAATAATCTCAAGAGACACATGCGCACTCACACGGGAGAGAAG